GTTAGAGTTGCCACCTGCCTTACCCGGCCAGCTCTCCTCCCAGGCCAGCTAAGTAATGAAAGTCAACAGTGTTCCTTCCCCAAGGAGGTTCACACCTCCCTTAGGATGTATCCCATGTGAAGAGATATATAGGTCTGGGCCTCATAACTTACAAGGCCTTAAAGCCCACTTGATTATTATCAAGCTCTTCTGTCAGTTTCTATTTGCCTCTTAATCGGAGAACTTATTCGTGGCTTAGACAGCTTCTTTCATAGGCCCTCTAATAATGACTCTATCCTTTGTACTTAGCCCACTTGGGTCCCATTCCTTTGTAATCATAGCCTCTACTCTTAGATCAATGGCTGCTTTCCTGACCTGTGTGTATTGATGGTCATCTCCCCCACTTAATGTTGTATGATTGTTCAGAATTTCTCTACAGACAAACCCCTCTACCTGCAAAAGTTGAGTGGCTTTTCTCCCAACTTGTTTGGGATCAGCTTTAAACTACATCCATCAAACAGTCTTGACAAGGGTCCAGAGACCCTCCTCATGTCCTCTCTATGAAATCCTCTCATTACCTGGTTAATGACACATTTAGGATCATTGGTGGCTATTTTCACCCTGTCTTTTATAACACAGTGTCTGTTTAAATGTTTACAGGAGTTGATAATGGAATGAACCAAGGCCTTCACCAACCAGGTGGTCAGCCAAATGCTGCAACAGAGATATAGTCAGCTCACCACCCAGGAGATAGTGGCTTGAGACATTGCCCCAAGCCATCAGAGTACCTCATCACCCCATATCAGCAGGAAGTAGCTCTAAAGACAGATCATCATCCCTCTTCCGACCTGGACTTTTGGGGACTAATGTAATCCCACATAACTCCTGCTTTATAAAAAACAAAAGAGGGGAATGTTAGTAAAATGGTGCAATCTTATCTATGGCATGATCTACACCCTGACACCATCCTAGGCTCTAGTCCCTGCTGCCATTGCTGGAAGCCAGGTGACCCCATAGCTCAACCACTGGTGTCAGTCCCACCCCTATCCAAATTGGATTAACTTCTCCTACTTCCCTGCCCTGGCAAAGTTTTAAAAGGACCTGTTCCTGAACACTTGGCTCTCTTTTTTTCTCTTCATCTCCTGATCTCTCTGTCTTTCTCTTTATCTCTCTCTTATGCTCTCCTTTCTCTCTTTTTCCTTCTTTGCTCCTTCCCTCTGTTCTGTCGGGTTTCCCCCAATAAAACCTTTCCCTTAAAAAAAAGTTTAAAAATAAAACATATTTTCCTTCATAAATTAGATTTATTTATGTATATATTATTTATGTATAAATGTCCATTTATAAATTGGACATTTTATGTATTTCTTTGTAAATATATATAGTAAAATATATGTACGAATGGTTACTAAATAGCCACACATGTCTATTTCTGTAAATAAAATTTACATAGTCTGTTATTGCTAATAAAGTAATGTATTTATTTATTCTTCACTCTGTTCTAGAGCTGGGGATCCAAATATGAATGGGAAAATAAAAATCTCTGCACTTATGTGGCATATGTAGTAGTGGCACAATATACATGAAATTTTACTGTATTTTAAAAGTACACATAAATGCACTTTTCATTATCACTATCATCCTGATTTGAAGCAGATTGCATAAGAAGAGGAAAATAAAGTGTCTACTATTGATTTTGTAACAAGGGCTTTTTTTTCAAACATTTGGGGATCATTTCCAAATATAAAGTATGGTCAAACAATTGCTAGAAAATCAAATACAATACAGCTAAACATATTTATTAAATTTCCCTCCCCTAATATTTTGTATTCACCTTTTAGTCCACAAAGTACTGAATATATCAATAATATGGGGAAATTCTTCATAGGAAACAAAACCATTTAATCTAGTTTTGACTGCAGATAAAAAACCTAAAATCTAATAAATATAGTAGGTCATATGTGCTCAGCTGAAAATCTTACAAAACTTCTAATCATGTCACCATGGTTACAGTACATTTCTGTATCTTAAAAGAAAGTTAAATAATTATAAAATATGACTCTTCAACTTATGCTATACTTTCAGTGTATGGGATTACTAGGGTTATTTTTGGAAAAATTGTCTGTATAATTAAAAGAAATACTGGTGACCAAGTCTCAGGAAATAGATAAGAAGCAAGGAAGATTAAAAAAAACTTAGTACTTCTAATGTCAAGATATGAAATTAAAATACTATCAATAACTAAAAGGAAAGTGATTGAATCATAATAGATTTTCTTAAACTTCAGAATCATAGACACCTATATTTACATAAATTATGAATTTGAAACATGCATTTTTTCTATATCTAAATAAAACTTTTCATTATTTCCATGAAAATGAAAACATGTCATTGCACTTCATAAGTCTAATTAAATTTAAAATGAGAGCAAAATTTAAAATAAGACCAAAAGCACCTGCAGATAAAGATAAAGCTAGAGTTTTTTATGACTTACAGTGGAAAATATCTCCTTTTTAAGATGTACTAAATTGAGGAAACAGAAGTTACCATACAGAACTGCCTTAGGTCCATACTTGTTGAACTTAAAATTTTATAAAATCCTTGAGAGGAAGAAAATGTGTCTCTCAAAGATGTAAGTTTACAAGTGAGAACAAATCATGAGCAGATCATAAGGAAACATATAGTATTATCATGACAATTAGAGAAATGAAATTATTTCATTTCACCAATTCCAAGATCATTTTAAAGTTTTTGATTCCAGGATACAACTTACAAATTATGAAACATTTTAATATATTTATGTTTTTAATTCCAGAAAACTGTTGTTAGGTCCACATTTTAGTTGAAATGCAGATTTCAGGATAAATGATTCACAGATGTGCAATAACCCTTTTTTTAAAGAACAAATGAGCTAGGTGTCCATAACCAAAATGTACGTTTGTATTGAATTAAAATTTAATGGATTTTTATTTTCAAAAAGCTGCACTTTTCACAAGTCCATTGAAATCTCTCCCAGTCAATATAAGGCATTATGATCCAAGAAGTAACTTACAGCTATCACAGTAACTAGGCAAGATAAATCTGCTTTGAAATCATTAGGAAAAATGGTTAATTAGACAATAATTATACTGAGGATATTTTCACCCTGACATACTCAATTAAACCCTGAACACCTGCTCCCTGTTCCTTAATATTCTGCTAGAAGTCTTCAGGCCAATAAAATCACTTCATCTCAGTAACATAGCTGAGTGACTGCAGTGATTAAAAACAGATCATGGCCGGCGCCGTGGCTCAATAGGCTAATCCTCCACCTAGCGGTGCCGGCACACCGGGTTCTAGTCCCGGTCAGGACACTGGATTCTTTCCCGGTTGCCCCTCTTCCAGGCCAGCTCTCTGCTGTGGCCTGGGAAGGCAGTGGAGGATGGCGCAAGTGCTTGGGCCCTGCACCTCATGGGAGACCAGGAGAAGCACCTGGCTCCTGCCTTTGGATCAGCGCGGTGCGCCAGCCGCAGTGCGCCAGCTGTGGTGGCCATTGGAGGGTGAACCAACGGCAAAAGGAAGACCTTTCTGTCTCTCTCACTGTCCACTCTGCCTGTCAAAAAAAAAAAAAAAAAAAAAAAAAAAAAGCAGATCACACTCTCATCTGAACTTCGTGGAAAAGTCTCCTTGGAATTTAATCACAATTTTGCCCTTAGAGTCCAGAAATATAAAAGTATATTTTCCCAACTTAAAAGGGTAAGTTTATTATCTGAATAACACATAAATATCATTTTCTTTAAAAATATTATGATTGAACTCACAGTCAATAAACAGGACATGAGAAAGGCACCAGAGCCAATTTATTACAGGGAATAAGTGAACATCTTGTTTATTCGTTGGCTATTGATTGAAGCTTGCCAAAAACTTACTCATGTGGACAATTCTTCCTTATTTGATTACTGGCTAGGCTCTCATGTGTATCTTACACAGACAATAACATATTATTGCATACCTAGGATTCAAGTTGCTTTACACAATGAATCTCTTATTTTCTTCTACCATCATTATTTCAGAATTTTTAGTTCAATGAAGGATGATCAAGAACATAAAAATAAAGACATTGCATCCCTTATATTTCTTAAACAAGACAAGTTAGCCCTGCCTATGTCGTGAATACATTACATTGTGGGGAGAATTGTAAGGACAACAGTGTTTGCGATATTCCATGAAAATAACTCCATTATGAGCAGAGGGGCTTCTGTGAAATGTAAAAGAGATCAAGTTTGCCTCTTCACCATCAACCCATTTGTTTTCTTTTGTCTCCAGTGTCAACAATTCTGTTTGATAAATGCATTTTGTACTTTTGAGACAGTTGTTGGTGTTATCACATATATGGTGGAATGATAAATACTGTATAAACATCATTCTGAGGGATATCAAACTTCATATAATGGCTTCCATATTCAAAAATCAATTGGGTAGTCATTGATTCCTTTGTCCCATGGGCTATCAGGAATATTTAAAGTGGTTGATCAATACCTTTACTTACTAGACACTTTTATTGGATACACACTGTGTGTGTGTGTGTGTGCGTGTGTTATTGCTGTGCTATTTCAGTTTTGTGAGAACGTATCTTTTTTTTTTTTTTTCCCTTTTCTTGTTGGCTTTTTTTGATCATATAAAACAGAGTCCAAATCCAGAGCTATTGATTTTACCAGCTTTTTGACCTCTGAAAGATACTTCATTTTCTGGCCCTGGTGACTTAAACAACTTGAGTTGTTATTGGTAACAACTGAAGAGATTGATTTAATGAAGACAAGGCTCTCATCAAGAGCTTTATTTCCCTTTCCTTACTGACCTAACCCTTCCCTTCACAGCTTACAGAAAAGTTGCCTCTGTTAAGAAGCTTTCATGATAATTAATTCAAAATCTTTACTTTTGCATCAGTCAATTCCAATGTATTTCATTGCATTTTTGCCTTGAGCTTCACGCCATGCTCTTTTTCAGTTTTACATTCTATTTTTTCCATGTTTTTACTTTACAATGGAACTGCACGTTTCTTAAGGTTAAATTTATTATTTTATTACCATGTTCTTTCTTCAGATACAGTGTCCTTATGCAGAATACACTTAATAAAAGCATGATCAAATATATATATAATGAGAGTTTGAAAGTTTATGTTAGCAGAATACATAATATATAATGGTACTCAGTTATGTTATAGTAATTCTTACATTACACATAACTGCTAAGTCTGTAGCTACGATACCCTAGTCTTTATTTATTTATTTATTTATTGGCCACTATGGCTGGAGCTAAGCCGATCCAAAGCCAGGAGCCAGATATTTCCTCTTGGTCTCCCATGCAGTGAAGGCGCCCAAGCACTTGGGCCATTCTCCACTTCCCTCTCGGGCCACAGCAGAGAGATGGACCGGAAGAGGAGCAACCGAGACTAGAACCCTGCACCCTTATGGGATGCTGGAGCCGTAGGCGGAGGTTTAACCAACTGAGCCACAGCGCCAGCCCCCATGATACCCTAGTCTTTAATGCTATATTCAATTTGTGTATGTTTTCATAGTTTTAAAAGATCATATTTCTAAAAGCCCTGTCTACATTTTAAAGAATTATTTTATTTATTTAAAAGATAGAGTTAAAAAAAGAGAGGGAGTGGGGAGAGAGAGAGGGAAAAAATGGAGAGAAAATATCTTCCATCCCCTGGTTCACTTTCCAAATGAGTGCAAAAGCCAGGGTTAGGCTGAAGCCAAGAGCCTAGAACTCGATCCACAGTTTCTTCATGGGTGGCAGGGACTCATGTACTTTTTCCATCCTCTGCTTATTTCCTACTCCCACTAGCAGGAAGCTGGATTGAAAGTGCAGCAGCTGAGACTATCTGCTTCACAACAATGCCAGTCACTTTATGCATTTTTTAAAATTATTCTTTCAAATCATGAGTGAAATTTTATTTTAATCTACCCCAAAATGTGTTACAGTAAATAATAATTGTCTGGAACTCAACATGTTGTGGAGTGAAGGATATTAATTTTTCTCAACACATTATATTTATTTAAATGAAGAAGTGAATAATTGTTCTTCCAATGATAAATCTTAAAAGTTTAATTTAACTCCATGAGGAGAACAGGATCTGAGTTGATATTTTATTTACCTATGACTGATTTCATATATGTATAATGATCTCTAATTGTATATCATTGTTTAGATTATATCCATGTATGTATATATAGTGACACAATTTTACTCTGTCTGTTAGAGCCATTATCAATTATTATTGGAGCTCACAGATAATTTAAGAATATTTTAGAATTTTCTACTGAAATCAGTTAAGAGAAATTGATTGGAAAATTTGAAGCAATTTGACAACAAAATAAAAAAAGACATGTCTAGTGTCACATTCTTCTGATGTCTCCCCTCTTATGCATAATTTTCCTCATTGATGTCTTCACATCTTCGTTCTTAATGCTCTAATCATATGCATGCAGCCAGTTGTGTCCTTTTCTAGTTCTTAGAAAGCTGAATTGAATAATTTTACACCAATTGAACAGCAAATGGCTATGTTGCCATAGTGAAAATGGGCTAATTAAGACATTTAGACAGGGAAAAAAAAATTCCTCTTCGAGATAGAAATTTGTTACTACATTATTTTTTGGTATGCCGAAACCTGACTTCATCTTTGATGAAAATACCTGTGTTTATAGGCTGTATAAAAGACAGCTCTTAACATGAGGGTGCCGAACCCTTTAAAATACGGTTGCTGAGGACGGTGCTGTGGCTTAGTGGGTAAAGCCGCCATCTGCAGTGCCAGCATCCCATATGGGCACCGGTTTGAGTCCTGGCTGCTTCACTGCTGATCCGGCTCTCTGCTATAGCTTGGGAAGGCAGTGGAAGGTGGCCCAAATCCTTGGGCTTCTGCACCTGCATGGAAGACCCAGAAGAAGCTCCTGTATCCCGCACAGCTCCAGCCATGCAGCCAATTGGCGAGTGACAGCAGCTGGAAGATCTATCGCTCTCCCTCTCCCTCTCTTTCTCTCTCTGTGTAACTCTAACTTTTTCAAATAAATTTTAAAAATCTGAAAAAAAGATATGGTTGCCTTCCTCTATTTCAATGCTTTAAATGATATCTAAAATATCCTCTTCAAGCTTTGTATTCTGGGTTGTTATTGTGTTCCTGGATGTATTCCATCATTTATTCATTCCTCAATATAAAATGCTTCTGTGAACCATGAATTGAGGAGGATAAAGACAAGAGAAACTATGTATAATCTTAAATATCTTACTGTCTATTGGAGAGATAGTCATACATACTGGAATACACTTGATTATACTAGGGAGTTTTCTGATGAACTATAAGGCTATGGGCAAGAGACAGATCTAAGGAAGGTGAATTTCACAAATTAGTCTCTTGAAGCATCTGGAGGATGTCATTAGTCTTCTCTCCTTTCCCTGTTGATTGGGCCTCTAGGCACGAAGATGATATTGTAAACCTAGAAGCTCAAATGCCCCAGAGTGATGGTTGCCTTCTAGAAGAGACCATTGTCACTCCACAGATGCTTAGGAAGTCCAAAAAAGGTACTATTTCAGAGACCAGCACATTGAATATACCAGTAGCCTTCCTAGTTCTACAAGGAAAAGTTTACACCCATTTCGTGGAGGTGTCTACCCATGCCAAGAGTACTGGATATTTCTTGTTTCATTCACATAGCTAGAATCTAGCTTCCAATTCTCCCCTGGATGACTCCTTTCTGTTATACTACTGTGAAATGAATTCTTACATTTAAGGGGTTGTTCCTAAGACAAAGTTCATAGTTCCCCATAGCCTGTTTTATAATAAACTTGGAGTCATTTCCAGTAAGTAGCCTCTGAGCCAGCCAGGTGGAAAGTTAATGGTGAGTTTTAAGTGTCTTCCACTTGCATAAGGATTGAAGATGGAGCCTTCGTTTTTCAGGCTGAAACCAAACACTGGGCTTGAGAGTATAACCTGTAGACAGGCAGTACCCATTGTGTATCTTCAGAGGAGTATTGTGGACTGATCTCTTATTAGGCATTTTCCAAATTCAAAGCAGCCTCTAAAGGCTCAAAGAAAGAAATGTCCTTGGCTTCTGATCCCATTTCCCTCACTTACTTCATTAATTCCCTTTGTTTGCCCTTATAGTGTTGCCTCATTTAAGGTAACTATGGCATAGCCACTGTGACTGGCTCCTTTTTCAACAAGGGAACTCTCAACTGTAAATAGAATCCAGTCTATATCCTCTAGAGGAATCTTACTGAGGTCCTCTCTGACTGCGTACGTCTCAAGAATGACCTGTTCACACTCATGTTCAGGACACTCTATCTCCTCTGAAGAAAAAATAGTGAAATTTGGAGAGGAGTTAAGTCTTGAGGTGAATTCCAGGGCCCTCCAGCAGTAATGCCTGGTATTTTAAAAGGCAATTTTCTGTAAAACAGAGGCTTCCTTTTTAAGGCTAAAAACCCTCTCCCATTATGGGCAATGTAAACTATGAGATATTGTTGAGCATCAGTTTAGTGGCTTCGCAGATTAGAAGGGAGAAAACAACCAACCCACTGAGGCACAGTGGCTACAGTTTTGTTACCAGATCAGTTTCTTTACTATGATACTCTCCAGGCTGCTGAAATAGTCTCTTAAACTGGATCAGTACTCATAAAACCCTGTTCTCTCTTATATATAGATTCAAGACTTTACCCATTGGCAGTTTACATTCAAGGCCTTGAGTAAGGCCTGTTTAAGTTGGATAAAGGACTGTTCAACCTCTGAGCCCCTTGTCAAAGTATGGATCCCTACTGTCCGGGTATCTTATCTGTTGGTGCAAAGGGCAGGGTATTTCCTAATTTCTGGGGATTCAGAGTCAACAGAATTGTGTAAATCCTAGGAAGCTTCGAAACTATTTAAGATTTTCAGGAGGTGGAAAGATGGCTATGGGCTTGACTCTATTCTCCCAGTGCACTGATTTCTTCAATATGGTTAAGCCTAGATATTTTGCAAAAGACTGGCAGAGTTAGGGTTTAGATTTTGAGAATTTATTGTCCCTTATGCAGGAAAGTTGAGAAGGACCTTGCTGCTCTCTTGGGACTCCTCTTTTGTCTGATGGCCAAGGGGATTGTCATTCACATACTGTAGAACAATAGCCTGTGGATGGGAAAACAAGACAAGAAACAAGGTGTACAAGGAAATTGAATAAACAGTCTCCAAACATTACCTTTGGATGAGACCTATCCATGCAAATATCCTTGTGGTAATACAGCCCAAGCTAATTGAGTGGACTCAGTTGGAAGGTCTTTTTTATAAGATTTTATTTATTTATTTGAGACATTATACCGACAGTGAGAGGGAGAGACAGAGAGAAACGTCTTCCTTCCATTGTTCACTCCCCAAATGGCCACAATGGCAGATGCTGCAGCTGATCCAAAGCCAGGAGCCAGGAGCTTCTTCCTGGTCTCCCATGCAGGTGCAGGGGTCTAAGGACTGGGGCCATCTTGTACTGCTTTTCCAGGCCACAGCAGAGAGCTGGATTGGAAGAAGAGCAGCCGGGACTCGAACTGGCCCCAAATGGGATGCTGGTGCCTCAAGTGGAGGATTAACCTACTGTGCCACAGAGCTGGCCCCAAGGGAGGTCTTCAAAAGCAAATATTGGGAGCGGGGGTGAAGTTATTGATAAAATATGCCCTTTGTCTCTATAACTCTAAGCCATTGAGTCTCTTTAGGAGTTTGGTAGAGTAAATTATAAAGGTTAGGGCTATTGGGTGAGTGGTGATCATAGCACCAGTTATGAGACAGAGATCCAGTACCAGCCTCGATTCTCCATTTGGCTTTTCAACTCCCAGAACTGGAGTTTTACAGGGACTATTGCATGGCTTCAAAATTGCCCAAGACTATAAGTTGTCTATTATGGCTTTTAACCCTTTCAGATCTTTGGTATTAAGGATATTATTTTTGATGAAGAAAACAGGAGGGTTTTTATTTTGATGAATGCATAGTGGCTGGACAGTTATTGCTCAAACAATCTTTCCCTGCACTGCCCATACTTCTGGATTAATACACGTATCACTTACGAAAATGCACAAGGGTTACTCTGGGGCCATGAAAACAGTGGTTCCCACCTTTTTGTCATTGGTTCACCCCCCAATGGCTGCTGCGGCAGGTATGCTGAGGCTGGCGCACCACACTGATCTGAAGCCAGGAGCCAGGTGCCTCTCCTGGTCTCCCATGCGGGTGCAGGGCCCAAGGACTTGGGCCATCCTCTGCTGCACTTCCGGGCCACAGCAGAGAGACTGGAAGAGGAGCAACCAGGACAGAATCCGGCGCCCCTACTGGGAATTTAACCTGGGGTGCTGGTGCCAAAGGCAGAGGATTAGCCTATTGAGCTGTGGCGCCGGCCTAAATAAATAAATCTTTAAAAAAATGATTGCCTATCAGGAGATAAGAAAGTATGCTTGACTAATGTCTCCTTACATCTCTCTAAGAAGGTGGAGGGGATGTCCTCTGCACCTTAGTCTGTCATGTACTTCTTGCTATTGTTTAGGGGTTTGGTTCTCTTCTTCCTCAATCTATTCAGGGCACAAGAAATAAAATGTTTTCATTGCCATTTATCTACAGGGTCATCTCACATCCACTTAGGATGAGGCACTTCCTGAGAAACAGCTTGTTTTCCTGAAGAATATGTCTGTTCCTTGTCTCATTGATCAGGTGAGAATGTAATGTCATATAAAATTCATCCTAATAGTTTATGTATCTGGGAGAGCAAGTTGTATTTCAGCCCATGTTAGGGTCTGATTTTGCAATAACATTATATCTATTCAGATGAGAGAAGACCTGGGACGAATTCTGGAAGGCCTCAATATATCTCTCAGGGTCATCTGAAAATCTTCCCAATCTCTCCTTTATCTGTCCAATATCTTGCAAGGAAAATGGGATTTGGACAAGTATTGGACTGCTGAATGCTTTAAGAAATCCCTGGACTGGTGAAATGAATGTTGGTGGTCAGATGTCCTGCTTGCTGACAGGATGGTCTGGATATGGGAGACTTTAAGAACCAGGAGCATTAGATGGTGGCATGTGGGGGAAATGAAGGGACAGGAGCAGTAGATCAGTTTTGACTGTGTGGCACCCTCCATGCCAGAGGTAGCTGTGGTCTTGAGGGTAACTGCTGCTAAAAATGCTAGGTCCACCTTACAGATTTGACAAAGGTTTATGTTCACAGAGAAAACAATGCTTGGACAAGGGATAGCAGACCATTTTCCTGCTCTGAAATAGGAGAGATATAATTGGAAGATGGTGTTACAGTTAATACTTAGCATCCTGGAGCCCACCACAGAGATAAGTCTGAGAATAGGAATAAATGATCTTACCTGCATCTCCACCCTTTCCCAAGAGTCCCTGGACCCTGAAACCTGTACATCATGGTACATGCGAGTCCTGACATTCATGATCATGGAGAATTAAGCTGACAGGATTATTTGCCCATACCTTCACCTCATTTTAACCCTCTCTCTTACCTGAATCACCTTTTTGTTCCACATTTAATCTAGCAATATCTGGTTGTTTAGTTTTTAGCTAGTTTGTGTCTTTCTCAGTCCATCTTTGAAAAATCAAATCTGCTCACCAAGGCTGCTGGCTATGATGGGACAAAAAGCATTTACTATTGTTTTCTTTTTTCTCTTTAGAAAACTGAGGTTGCACAACTAGGATGACTTACACACCTCTGACATGGTTGTTAGATAACTCTCTGTCCCTGAGGTGGGTGTGCTTCCCAAGGGTAGAGACTTCCCATATGTGCGTACCCATGATCCCTACAGTAATGGCAACATCCACTTACCCTAATGGTTTAACCACTGGTGGCAAGAAATGTTAGCTGGGAAAGGGATGTAAGCAAGGGTGGGAGTGCAGCAGGGAAGGAAGCCAACTCCCCATTTCTCAGCCTTAGTCTAACACTCTGTAAGAGGGAGAGATCATCATCTCCACTCCCCCCACCATGATGCAATCAACAAAACATGTAAAACAAGCTATATCTAGTATAAAGCCATGGAGAATGGGCTCACTCTGAGATGGCATCACATTGACTCTGGAGTACAAATATCAGATTACAGCATAAATTGGGCATCATTTTACAACATGAGAATGTATTTAAAGAATTTTTAAATGTTTAAGCCATTTGCTTACAATAAAAGTAGTAATAATCCATTTATTCTGAATATTTTAACCAAAACTGTTGGCCAGATCTAAGAATTATGGTAATCATTCAGTTAAAAATAGGGAGATGATGCTAAATCATTTAAGATTCAGTTCCCCTAGGCAATCGAGAATTAGATAATCATGTTGTGAAGAAGTTGAAGAAAAAAATACAGCAAGATGTGAACTGCAGAGAAAAAAAAATCTACCTAACTAGGTTGCTAGTTTAGGTGAGTAAACCTGTACAGCCACCTTTTGCCTGAGGTTTCTCCCTCTCCACCTATTCTCCTTTTCTCCACTGCCAACCCAACATTTGAGACTGAGAGAGGTGGGGTAGGAAGGAGAGAGAAAGCAGGAGAGGGAGGAGTGACGAGTGCAGATTTTGGCCCAATATCCTACTGGGTGGTTGGACTCTGGATCTAATCAGGGAGGCTTCAGGCAACACTGGGAAAGCCCTGGCCAGAAAAACTTCAATTACTCAAATATTTTATTCCAATCTCATGCATTGTGTGTATTTCTGTGAAAGGAAGCTGAGGCAGATCAAGACCAACATTTCCAGTGCCAAAGAAAGAGGCAGATGAATCAGATCTACCCCAAGAAAACTGCCCTCTAATTTTTAAGACTGGCAGCCATGCTAATCACTTTTAACTGTTTTTGATTAATAGAAGACTATGATGGAGTTCAAAATCTCTGGAGAAAAAAGGCTACCATGGTCCATTTCACTCACTTTCAGATGATTCTGGATAAACACCCAAGAAATGTTGCAAGAGTCTGTGGTAAGGGTCATTTATATTTGTGTCTCCTGATCACAAAAAATTAGAAGCATATACAAGAAAGGGTTTGTAAAAAAGCAATTTATTGGAAACAAAAATAGAAAATACAAAAGAAAGAATTCACAGTTGAGTGTGGATGGCCTGGGATGAGGGAATGGAAAGTTATAAGCTGTAAAAGGAAAAGTTCGTATGACTTATTTTTTTTTAAAGATTTTATTTATTTATTTGAAAGGTAGAGTTACAGACAGTGAGAGGGAGAGAGAGAGAAAGGTCTTCCATCCTCTGGTTCACTCCCCGAATGGTCGCAACGGCCAGAGCTGCGCTGATCCGAAGCCAGGAGCCAGGAGCTTCTTCCAGATCTCCTGTGTGCTGGTAGGGGCCCAAAGACTTGGGCCATCTTCTACTGCTTTCCCAGGCCATAGCAGAGAGCTGGATTGGAAGAGGAGTAGCAGGGACTCGAACCGGCACCCATATGGGATGCCAGCACCGCAGGTGAAAGATTAACCCACTGCACCACGGCAGCGCCCCCCCCCCCAACTTATTTTTGAGAAGTGAAAGTTTCGATTAAATTGGTAAAAGTTGTCTCCAATTGAGCCTCAATAAAGACAATAGAAAACCCATGAACATTTACCCTGAGATACAGAAAACTCTTGCTTCCTAGAGTTAAAGCAGCCTAGAGAAAATTTGATTACAAGGACTGGCCCATTACATCAACATTCTTAGCAGAAGCCAGTTACTTCACTTTTCTCACTTCCTCTAAGACTCATCTCCTGATGGTGGAGATAAGGCCACTAGTCCCTGGCTACCTAGTCAGAAGTCTCTGTCTATCAATATGGGCTATGTGTCTTTAGGATTTGGTGATAAATTCATGCAATTATATGCCAACTTTACTCACTACAGAATATGACAAGGAAGACACTAGTTTGTAGCTTAGGCATGTTAAACCTCTAGGAACATCATCAATATTTCTTTTCTCATATTACCTTCAAGTGGAATTTATATTATTCTCAGTATCATTACTTGAGTCTCTTGAAATGAAATAGCACTTATTCATTTTTCATCATTCTTTACCCTTTAGACAGCTAGCAGTGTGGAAACTAATGTTCCAAGGTGAGTTTTGGAGCTGATTTCATAGTATCACTAATTCAAGTCCTCCTTACAACAGAAAAATAATCCTATCAAATTTATTTCATTTTCAATTTATTAATATTGTCTCTTTTCTTTGCAATCTTTGTAACAGATTATTTTATTTGTTAAACAAGGATTTTAAAAAGTGGCTCTTATAAACATTTCTCATTTCTTTTTTTCTTTTTTTGACAGGCAGAGTGGACAGTGAGAGAGAGAGACAGAGAAAGGTCTTCCTTTGTCGTTGGTTCACCCCCCAAAAGGCTGCTGCAGCTGGCATGCTACAGCTGGCGCACCGCGCCGATCCGATGGCAGGAGCCAGGTGCTTTTCCTGGTCTCCCATGTGGGCGCAGGGCCCAAGCACTTGGGCCATCCTCCACTGCACTCCCTGGCCACAGCAGAGAGCTGGCCTGGAAGAGGAGCAACCAGGACAGAATCTGGCACCTTGACGGGGACTAGAACCTGGTGTGTCGGCGCCACAGGTGGAGGATTAGCCTAGGGAGCTGCGGGGCCAGCCAGCATTTCTCATTTCTTAAAATTGTGATATTACATATAATTCTTGTTAACTTTCTTACAGCTGATGAATTTGTTGCAATTTTAGTTTTCTCCCCAACCTGGAAATTATAAACTCATTATACGAACCTTCTTTCTTGAAAGAATTGGTCCCAGGGGCTAGCGTGGTGGCACAAAAGATTAATCCTCCGTCTGTGGTACCGGCATCCCATATGGGTGCCAGGTTCTAGTTCCTGTTGCTTCTCTTCCAGTCCAGCTCTCTGCTGTGGCCCAGGAGGGCAGTGAAAGATGACCCAAGTGCTTGGGCCCCTCACACGCACGGGAGACCAGGAAGAAGACCCTGGTTCCTGGCTTCGGATGGGTGTAGCTCCAGCCATGGCGGCCATTTGGGCAGTGAACCAATGGAAGGAAGACCTTTCTCTCTGTCTCTCTCTCTCTCTCTCACTGTCTGTAACTCCACCTGTCAAATAAATAACATAAAGAATCTTAAAAAAAAAAAAAAGAAAGAAAGAAAGAAAGAAAGAAAGAAAGAAAGAAAGAAAGAAAGTGTTGGTCCCAGGTCTATCAACCAGAATAAAAGCCTGAGCCATTTGGGTGAGGAAAGCAAAGGGAACAGACAGATGCCTGAAGAAATCTACCGCATCTGAAAAGATAGGAGCAAGAGTAGGTATCTGTGGGTACAGGAAGGCAGAGGGTTTGCCAACAGTGACCCTTGTCAGTGGCAGTATGCTCTAATCTGTCTACACTTTGGATTTGTGAGACCCTTGTATGGACAGCACTGAGTTGTAACCAGATGTTTTTTGTAAGCTAAGTAACTTAATCTTTGTCTCTCACTAAAAGCTCTTGTGAGCAACCCAATATTTTAAAATAAAATGCAGCCTGTGCCGTGGCTCAATAGGCTAATCCTCCACCTTGTGGCGCCGGCACACTGGGTTCTAGTCCCGGTCGGGGCGCCGGATTCTGTCCCAGTTGCCCCTCTTCCAGGTTAGCTCTCTGCTGTGGCCAGGGAGTGGAGTGGAGGATGGCCCAAGTGCTTGGGCCCTGCACCCCATGGGAGACCAGGAGAAGCACCTGGCTCCTGGCTTCGGATCAGTGCGATGCGCTGGCCGCCGCGAGCTGGCCGTGGCGGCCATTGGAAGGTGAACCAACGGCAAAATGAAGACCTTTCTCTCTGTCTCTCTCTCTCACTGTCCACTCTGCCTGTCAAAAATTAAAAAAATAAAAATAAAATAAAATGCAGTCTTCCTTAACTATTTGCAATGAATTGTGTAGTTTACAAAGAACTATTACTCATAAAATAAAGCATTTTTAATATTATGAAATGCAGGTAATCATATCAAAATGATGTATATCATAAGTTCTTATCCTTAAAGAAATACTAAAGTCAAAAGAAAAGGTGCATAACAAAAACTTATATGAAAAGTTATTTATATCTTCTTTATGTTCTCTTTGCTGGATTACAAATACTTCCTTAATACTGTCATTCCAATCAGATGATTATAATCAATAATGGGTTAAAATGTATTGCCAAGATGTATTTTTCCACAAAGCTATTCGTTGTTTTATCTTTATTCTATTGCATCAAAAATAGCAGTGAAAAGAGACTGTGATAATAAGGGAATCTTCAGAGCTTCATATATGATGGTTCATTTCAAATTGCTGCCTGTATAAGAGTTACTAAAGCTATGGCAATTTCAGTGAATTGGTATAATTTTAGCGCCAATCTTCCCTGATTGTTTTGAAAGAAAAAAGAAGCAAAACCACTGTCACTGACAATTGACTCTTCTGCCTGCCTATCACCCTGGAGAATAACTCATGCAATATGGATGTGCAATTGTGAATCAGCTGGGGAGTGTCCTGACTGAGGTGATAAACTTTAAGTTCACAATTTGAGAGCAAGTGGGGATCTGTTTGGCCTTGTTCAATGTGACTATGATTAAGTACATTAAGTACACAGAATCCACAGGACAACACATTACTAGGTGGACACTACCATATAGATAATTGTATTCAAAGAAGGGAAAGAAAGCTTTACTGAATGTATTCCATTTGTTATTCTAAATGTCTTCAACTTTACTAACTTTCCCACTGCGCCCAGGAGTATAATCTTTAGAGTAGCCCTGCCTTCTACATTTGGATTGTGTTCATTCAATAGGAAACACCACTAGGAGACAGAAACATGGGAAGAAAGAGAAATGTAGATATTTGTTGCAGTCATTCTCTCTTTTCTGTGCCATGAGTTGGCAGAGAATAGGTTCCCCTACAAAAGGCCACAACTCCTTTCTGTTCCTCATCTAGAACAACAAAATCCTGTTAACAGCTCCTTCCTGTTGTCCTTTTAGGCCTAAGAGTGATAGCTACATTTTGCCACTGCTAACCCCAAGGTCTTTTTCTGCTCTTGCTAATTTTCTTTAATTTTGTCCATATTTGTGTTAGTGGGCTTTCCCTTAAAATTTGCATAATCATTCCTTTCAAGTGCATATATATTTGTGTTCTGGGATCCTATATAATGCATTAATTAATATCACAATTGGCCTTGAGAAGAGGTATCCAATAATGATATCTATGATGCCCACATATTTATGAACAAATATATTTCTCGTTCTTGTTAGGAACAATAGAACATTGATAGTCCTTGACATGGCGTGGTATAATAATTATTAACCTATCATCAAGGGTAGTACAGAAAGTATGACTGTACAGGACAAATTCCCAGGATGTGAAATGTGTGTGGCCCCTTGCCACTACAGTAATAATGGTTAAAAAGGAATTTTGGAGACCAATGTTATAGTGCAGTGGGTTAAGCCACCTCTTGAAATCCTGTCATCCCATATGAGAGTGTTGTTTCCAGTCCTGGTTGTTCCAGTCCTGTTCCCTGCAGATGAGACTTGGATGACAGCAGAAAATGGCTCAAGAGCTTGAGTTCCTTCCACCCATCTGGGAAAGCAAAAGAGTTCTTGGCTTTTGGCTTCAGCCTGGTCCAGGCCTGACTGATGCAGCCATTCAGGGAGTGAACTAACAGGTTGAAGATTCTCTCTTTCTCTCGCTTTCTGTGTGTCTGTGTGTGTGTGTCTTTTCCTCTTTTTCTCATGTTATGCTTTTCAGTATACAAATAAATCTTTAACACCCTGGCCTGAAGTGCCAGCATCCCATATGGGCCCCGGTTTGAGACCTGGCTGCTCCACTTCCCATCCAGCTCTCTGCTATGGCCTGAGAAAGCAGTAGAAGATGGCCCGAGTCTTTAGGCCCCTGCACCTGTGTGGGAGACCTGGAAGAAGCTCATGGCTCCTGGCTTCAGATCGGCAGAGCTCCGACCATTTACTATTTTTACTATTTAAGTGTACAGTTCATTTTATATTGTTGTGCAATCATAAATACTATTCTGAACTTCTTTTATCTTCCCAAATGAAACTCTGTATCCATTAAACACTACTCAATTTACTCTCTCCCTTCAATACCTGACATCCACCATTCCAATCTCTGCTTCTTTGAG